ATTCACACAGGCACAAAAGTTGTAGAAAACTTTTCGTGGTCCAATCTGTCAAGAAAAAAAATAATGCTTTCATTTGATTTCTTTTCATCATAATGAAGAGATTTGTCGTTCTTTTAAATTTAAGCTTCACGTTTATCTTTTTTTTTTAAATAAAAATATGCATTAGCTGTTTACTGAAGTGAAGTCATAGGGAAACAACGAGTCGAACCTGCAAATAGAAATGAGGAGACGATACCAAGTGGCATTCAAAAACCATAAGTCGAAGAAAAACAGAAAAAAACATGACCAACAGAACTACGACGCGAAACAGATAAACAATTATCCACCAACAGTACAAGAAAAAGGGAGATTAACGGCAAAACGAATCTCAACAACAAAATATTGGTACTCAAGTAGGTGCATCGGTACTGTAGATAAATTTCTGCTCCACTAATTACCGTGACATGATGTCATGTTGCTCAAGGCAATTAAATCCCGGTTAACTATAAGTATCATTCGGTAATGCCATAACTTGGATAGAATATGGGTTTTAGCCTATATGACAATTAAAACATCTTGGCCATATTCTAGACAAATGTTTCGTATCGGATGGCGTCAGTAAAAAAAGTGATGAATACAAATTTACATTTAAGAACCCTTTCAGCACCTTCATTGAAAACCGAAAATCTCTATCACAAAATTTACTGAGAAAAATAAGCTCTGGAATATCACATAAAACCGGGAAATATATTCTCCATATTCAGGTGCCTAAAGAATGCGGTTTCAATATGAAAATGGAAAAATTACAATGTGAAAATCGAAATTATCTTTTTTGTCATAAAGTTTTTCAACCGTTCTGTCAAATTCTATAAGTCAAGACAAGAAACGGACCTAACTCTACATGTGGTATAATTTATTTCAAGTTCAAAGGAATATATGCGATCAACATAGTCACCAAAATTTACTTATTCAGTGAGAGAAACGTTTACACACAGGGGGAAAGTGAGGTTAAAGCATTTTTTTTTAAATTTCAGTATGAAGTCGGCGTCATATACACTATGTCAACCAAAACTGTTTATGTCTTTGATACAAATAAGCCCAATGACTGATATGAAGGTAAATTAATTTTAAAAGTCTTTCTAAAATAAAATAAAAACACGGCAGGGCCGTAAATTGCGTGTCTTGTAAGGGGAGGCAGTTGAGTTTCGCCGAGCCATTTTGACCCATTTTAAGCAGAAAATGATATTTTTTCGGGCCTTTTCCCTGTATGCAATGTACCTCCCCAGAATTCACCACTTGTTAAATTTTTGTTATATTTCAATAAATAAACGCCTGGAATATATTGAAAATAGTTATAAACCAGAGTTAGATTACGTGTGCCGGTAAAGTAAGATTTTTTACGCTTCATCCTGCTTTACGACTCTTCACAAGCTATTTTTGCTTAGTTTTAGGGAAACAATTTAAAATGAAAGGCCCCCTAAAGTTGAGCCTTTTTTTTTTTTGTGGTTTATCATGCTTTTTTGGCTGTCCCAATCGAGCTATTTTGACTTCGTTTCAGAGACACAATTTTCAAACCTTAACATGAAAATGCATAATTAATAACTCATAACTTTTAATTATCAAATTCAAATTATTATAACGTAACGCTTTTTGTTTACACTGACAATTTTATTCGGTTAGGCTTTGTCAATTGCTAAGGGGATTTTTCTGTGCCCGAACGATTCCCATCTCTTTAGCACTTCTATGCATTCGATCAGGGACTTTCTATACTAACAGTTAGTATAGACTGTCCCTGATTCGATATTGCCAACATTGTCACTTCTATATGTAGCATAGCCAGACCACGTAATCTGCTTTCCGTCATTGTTAACCTGTTCCATGTTTTAAGGCGCCGTAGCGCAGAAAACGATCTCTCACAACTTCAGGACCCAACTGGCAAGGCTAACAGAAGCAAAAGCATTTGTTTTATATTTGGGTAGAAGTGCGTGTGTTTGATTGCTTGCTCTATTATACATTTTGACCCAATCTCATTAATAGACGTAAAAGTAACAACCAGTGCTATTAAAATAATGCTTCATTTTAACAATTTTTTCTTTTCAGTATTTTTTTCTTCGTTTTTTCTTTTTTTTTTTTTTTGTCAGTCCGCAATAGGAGGCAACTGCCTACATGCCTCTATGTAATTTACGGCCCTGGTCACGGTACCAAGTATTTCTGAATTATCTTAAAATGACTCGTGTGTTTTGATTAATGTAAAAGAGGGACGAAAGATACCAGAGAACAGTCAAACTCATAGATCGAAAACAAACTGACAACGCCATGGCCAAAAATAAAAAGACAAACAGACAAATAATAGTACAGATGACACAACATAGAAAATTAAAGACTAAGCAACACGAAACCCATCATAACTGGGGGTGATCTCAGATGCTCCGGAATTTCCATCAAATAATTCACAGTTGAAAAATATCAATTCAGAGAAAAAGCTACATATGTATTTGTAGACTTTTCTGTTGGGGTCTTTTTCGAATTCGTCTACTGGTCTTTAGTACAACCCTACTTCGAGTGCTCCTAGACAGGAGGGATCTACGAAAGAAGGGTTACACTAAAGACCTGAAAGTGGACCTGAAAAGACCTGAATAGACCTGAAGATATACTACTCGATTTATTCAAAATACAATTACTTCTTTATTTTTCAATGGATTTTCTTCAAGTTAGAATTTTATTAAATGTAAAGGTCCACATTTTATCAAAAATAAAATGTTTTAAATAAAAAACAAATTGTAGATGCCAAAACCTGGACCTGAACGGAGAAATGAAAAGACCTGAACGGACCTGACAATCTATGGTTGGACTTATTCAAACTCCAATAACTGTTTTGTTTTTCAATGGATTTCCTTCAACTTTAGATTTTGCGAAACGAAAAATTCAATTTATTAATAATATTTTTTAAAAAAATATGAAAAATATTGTTGGGGTGTCAAAACTCGGACCTTAACGGGAAATTGAATTACTTGCATTGACCTGAAATCTGCGGTCAGATTTATTCAAGTTAAATAACTTTTTAGTTTTCAATAAATCTCCTTGAAATTTGAGTTTTGTTATAGAAAAGGTATAATATTTCATTGAATTGATACAGAATTTTACAAAAAAATATTTGTTTATTTAAAAACAATTGGACCTTTTCGGGGAAATTAAAGACCTGAACGGACAAGACCTAAACAGACAATACGGGTAGATGTATTTAAACTGACAGAACCTAATTTTTCAATTTGTTTATATTTTTAATTAAATTAAATTAAAGAGAAAGACAGACTTTATATATATACAGGAACATTTTACTGAAATAAAAAAATACCTTGTTGATGTTGAAACCTGGACCTACAGAGAAAACATGCAGGATTGCCCGTGGAAAATTATTCAAACTATAATTAACTTGTTTAAATTGCATTTATATAAACAGGTCTTAAACTGTTTTATTTATATATTGAAAATAAAAGTATCATTTGCACATAAACCATGTAATCTAAACACGGTTACAGGTTCGTCGATTGGAATGTTTTAATTACATGAACGTGTGCCGACTGTAATTCACACCCTGTATTGATATTAGTTGATAATTGGATCATTAGTCTAAATAAACATTTCATTTTAATCTTTAAATTAGATTATCATTTAATCTTGTTACACAAACTAAACATTGCTTGGTCACAAATTTAACTATAAACTTTACAAAAAAAATTTATAACCAAAAACGTCAAATAATTAATGAATTCAGATCAACGCTCTAACTTTTTATAAATCATTAATAGCAAAAGTCCATTACTAGAAATGGACTTCTGATAATAGTCGATATGATATACCAATTTAAGATGATATACATCAACAGACGACAACCACTGAATTACAGGCTCCTTGCTTAGGACAGGCACATACAGCAGGTGGCGGGGTTATCTAGTTTAAAGATGCCAACCCTTTTACAGGTTTATTTATGCCTATGGTATCCTTTTGTATCTCCTGTCTCTTTATATATATTGACTTAAAAGTTTTGATATGTGAGAGTTGCTTATCCTTTGGTATCCCCCGTCTTTTTGACATGTATCAGTTTTGATTATCCTCCCGTCAGTTTTGATATTTGTTTTTCTTTTGATGAAATATTTGAAAAAAAGAAGAAGCGGTATGATACAAATGAGACAAATCTCCACAAGAGACCAAATGACATATCCCCTCTATATAGCTAGAGGTTAACAACTGTAGGTCACCGTATACGGCCTTCAAATATCTATTTTCAGGTTTATTCAGGTCCAAGACTTGTCACCAACATAATATTTTTCGTTAATGTTGTTTTTTTTTTATTTTGGTAAAATATTTAATTCATACTTTAACAAAATCCACGTTTCAAGGAAATTCTTTGAAAGAGAAAAAAATATATAATTAGTGGAATTTCAGCCGTCCATTCAGATTTTTAATTCTCCGTTCAGGTCCGAGTTTTGGCACCCAAAACATATCAGTTTTCATTTTCTAATTTTTTATTTTGATAAAATGTTATATTTTTTATTTTACAAAATCTAAAGTTGGATGAAATCCATTGAATACTTAAAAAAAAAATATTGGAGTTTGAATAAGTCTGACCATAGATTTTCAGGTCCGTTCAGATCTTTTCATTTCTCCGTTCAGGTCCAGGTTTTGGCATCAACAATTTGTTTTTTATTTGTAACATTTTATTTCTAATAAAGTGCGGTTTTTTACCTTTCACAAAATTCTAATTTGAAGGAAATCCATTGAATATTTAAAAAGTTATCAAAGTTTGAATAAGTCCGATCATAGATTTTCAGGTCTGTTCAGGTCTTTTCATTTCTCCGTTCAGGTCCAAGTTTTGGCATCAACAATTTGTTTTTTATTTAAAACATTTTATTTTTGATAAAATGTAGATCTTTAATTAAATAAAATTCTAACTTGAAGAAAATCCGTTTAAAAGTAATAAAGTAATCGTATTTTGAATAAATCGAGTAGCATATCTTCAGGTCTATTCAGGTCTTTTCAGGTCCACTTTCAGGTCTTTAGTGTAACCCACGAAAGAAGAAGAAGAAAATGGCGGGTCATTAGAGTGCTCAAACGTTAATTGTTGATCTCAACAATAGTTTGCAATTTGTGTTTGAAAGAATTATCCGTAGGAAGTATGCAAACTACAAAGGTTCAGTAAACAAAAATGTCTCTCAGTCTGAATATAGCTATACGCCTGTCTTTTCTTCTTGAGTAAGAATACTTCGTTTTATTTTGTAGAAAAACAACAACACGTGGTTTATGGGCTCAGCTGATTCGAAAATGAAAGGACGGTTACTGCTCGAGGATGGATTTGAAGTCGAAGGAATCCATTTTGGAGCGAATAATAGTATCCCAGGAGAAGTTGGTAATGACGTTTATCATACAAGCCTTAATTGAAACACAAACGACATGCAAGACCTGTCATAAGTGAAGATACTGCATGAGATATGTTTTTGCTTGATAGTCCTACTATGTCTAATATTACGTGATTATTTCTGTATTGGCCTTGTTATTGGTCCAAGGCTTTCTGTATTGGCCAGAGGCAAAGACGTAGGCCAATACAGCTGGTCGAGGACTTGTCCAAATAATTATGACGTCTTGGAAGGCTATTTTAAATTTTTGCTTTGATGCCTTCCTGCGACGATAAGGCGTCAAAGAAAAAAAATATAATAGCCTTTCAAGACGTCATAATTATTTGGACTAGCCGAGGACCAATAACAAGGCCAATACTGAAATAATCATGTAATGATAATTATTGATATCTTTATTAATTAACTACAGTGTTTACCTGTTTTTTCTTGTGTTTTATCTCCCTTCACAAGATTTTAACATATTTTACCTTGAAATTGAACTATCCAAATCTGAGTTACTCCGTTTCCTTTTATAAGCTGCAATGTCAAATGATCTGGTGCTGTTTGGAAGTGTCTTCTACAATTTTTAATGATTTGTTAACCCTTTTCAGTCACTATAGTATATAAAGTGTTACAATACATTGTTAGACGCAATACATAAATAGTAATTAGAAAGGCACTGCCATTGCATGAGAGATTCAGAAACTCAAGGATTAAATAAAAGTAGGAGTAATGTATGAATGCCAATGAGACAGCTATCAATAGATCATGACCAAAGAACAAAGACTTAAACAATAGATTACAGGTCATCCTTCAACAATCCATATGCCTGGTTCAGGTTGAAAAATATATGATACCTAACAAAAACATAAGAAGCAAAAGTAAACAGTAAATCGAAGTGCACTCATTAAACTGATAAAATGTGTAAAATAGTTATGAGGTCGACAAGAAATAAGCTTTGTGATAATCTACAGACTCGTTGCCCAAACCTGAAATAATTAAATTGTCTTCTTACAAAATGCTTTTTTAAATGAATGTGACCATCTTTCAGCTGAAATATTTGCCACACTGAACGTGTCGGCATGTTTATGGTGAGTAAATATATCATCGTCTTCCAAAGAACAGTTTACATTAAGTTGGTGTTTATCATGGCTTTCGATCTAAAAACTAGAGACGTTCCGAAATCCTGTATTGGCCGGATCAGAACTCAGCCAATACGGAAAAAATCAATATTGGCCGAGTTGACACTTTTGTATTGGATATGCAGTTTTCATCCTATTAAGTCCAATAACAGAGTATTTAATTAATAATACAAATTATATGCTCCTAGATGGAAATTATAATGCATTCGTAATAACAAGACAGGATGAAGACACATTTATGGCAAAATGACCATATGTTTGTATAATTTACATGAATTTTTATTTTTGAACTTTTTTCATGCATAAAGCATAAACAGGTTGGGGACTATCTGTGGAACCGTAGCTCTTAGGTCCTTATAATATTTTTTGACAATTTGCGGACGGTTCCGCAGATGGTTAGGGACAACCTGCCAAATAGGGAACTATTCCTCAAATGAGTAACAATCCCTCATTTGAGTAATCATTTGATAGTGCTAAAAATAAAAAAAATCTTAACTGAGTCTTTTTAATCTAAATGGCACATAGTCATAAAAACACAGCAAATTTTCCAAAAGATGGATAGCCCTAACCTGATTTACTGAGACGTTACAAGCCTAATAAAACTTTGAAAAATTTACATTTTTCAAGGCTACTAACTTTTTTAAACCCAAAAATAAAAATATAGTTTGTTGGAAGAAGTTGTTTCATTTTCTATAAATTTATGCCATTTTAAGTAAAAAGACCAGTTTAGAAAATTTTATTTTTAGGACTATCAAATGATTACTCAAATGAGGGATTGTTAGTCATTTGGGGAATTGTTCCCCATTTGTTGGGTTGTCCCCAACCTGATAAAGGGTATGTGAGCCATGCATTTTAATTAAATAGTTTTTACAAGAACATTAAAACTGGTAACTCTCATCAAACCGTAAAACACTGCCCAATGTGACCACTTATCCATCCACTTGCTAACAACCTACCACATCAGGTATAAAATATTTGTTTTTGGTATAACGCTTGATAGAAATCTCTGGTACTGATATGACGATCTTTTGATTTATCTGACATGTCTTAGGACCACAGCATTATTTTGTATTAAGGATAAAAATATCATATTTATGATTAGTATTTTTGTTAAGTATACTGTAAATTCAGAAATTATTGCGATTTTGTCGTTTTAGACTAAAATGCGATTTTAATTTTTGCCATATTGAGAAAAATCCTGTTTAATTCATATAAAAAATTTCAAAATGCAAGTTTAAATTATTGCGATTATAACCCTGTTGCATTTTTCGCAATAATTTCTGAATTTACAGTATCCCTTACCTTTTATTTACCTAAATAATTGTACCTGAATGTGGCACTCTTATTAAGTTTCTATCAGCTCCTTTGTATGTTAACACTGACAATGCCATCCTTTTTGATTATTGATATCAGCCAACTGTTAAAATAACAACATCAAAAACATTTGACACTAAGATTTATTCATTACACAGAAGCAGCATTTAATTGAATAAAATATGATTTTCATCACACAAATCTTATATTAAACATTTATTAAAAGAGAAAAATTGAAATTTATGTTGAGTGTGAACTGCCTTTCGATAGGGATTATGAATATTGCCTGGATGGAAGTATGCTGAGTCATTATAAAATGAGAACCAAACATTCTGAGTCGTAATGAGCGCCAGTTAGTAGTGGCATGTGTTAGTTTTATATAAACAGTCATTTTGATACAACATGTACAAGAGTAAAACCACTATTGTTTCCCCTATTAGTCTTTGTTAAATTGGCATTTTCAAAAAAATTGTGCAGAATTTATCTATGTTTTAAATAAACATATACTTGGAATGAGTAAAGTTTTTTTTTTCTGACCAGTACTACAGACAAAATTTCACATAACATTTCATTGCAAAAAGATATTGGCAGTTTTTAACAACTCATTAGTAAATTTGATTTGTAATGTTTATTAGTTTAAATCGATCTTTCAGATAAAACTAATGACAGAGTATGCATTATGAGTTTTATAAGAAGAAAGAAAGTTTTTAGATTTTATTTCTCTAGAGATTTATATACATGATATTCATAAATGACCATGTTTTATGTATATAAGATTTCAAAAGTCTAAATAAATATTGACAATTTCTGCGTAATACCAATTCATATCCTGTTCGTAATTTCAGTATTTCAGACTGGAATGGTTGGTTACCCAGAATCCCTCACTGATCCATCCTACAGTCGACAAATTTTGATCTTGACCTATCCACTGATTGGGAATTATGGGATTCCAGCTGATGATTGTGATGAATATGGACTGAAGAAATGGTTTGAGTCGGCAAAGATCCATGTGGCTGCCTTAATTGTAGGAGATTTTTCTGAGCAGTATAGTCATTGGAGTGCTATAAAATCTCTTTCTGATTGGTTGAAAGAGTACAATATCCCAGCATTGTATGGTAGGTTCAGTTTTGTTAAAAATAAGAAGATTGGCTATGATTGCCAATGATACAACTCTCTACCAGAGACCAAATGCATAGAAGTTAACATCTATAGGTCACCATATGGCCTTTAACAATGAGCAAAACGCATACCGTATAACAGGCTATTGAAGACAAAGAAATAACAAATGTAAAACAATTCAAAGAAGGAAAACTAATGGCCTGATTTATGTACAAAACAATAAACAAAACAAACATGATTTTCAGCAACAATTTCAGGTTTGTTAAAAGCATCATATGGCTTAATAATGATAATATAGTGACAGGTTTATATAATAGTTCAGCATTGTATGATAGATTTGTAGTTTTGTTATTTAACTATGTACTTTAGGGAATTTGTTGAATTTGAGATATTTAATGAAGATAGATTGCAACCATCTACCTGTAATGTTCAACCTGTGATTTCTTTTGTTTTGTCTGTATCCCTCCCTGTTATTTTCTGGCATTTTTCTCCATTTTCTCTGACATAAAACTGTAAAAACATTAACATGATTAATATATTACACAAATTGAACTAGCTTGCTCATTGAAGTTTATGTTTTAGTCTTAATTATTATTTCATAAAAATTTGAAATAAATCATTGTTGCCCAATGAAATGATCACTATTATAGTATTGTGGAAGAAGCAAGTTCTTTCAGTGAAATGTAAAACAACTAATTATCAATTGACCAATGTTTCAGTGAAAAAAAGCTATTGTATGGAAGACTACTCATGTGCATTGGGTACATAATCTTTCTTTGGGTATTAATTTTGAAGGACTGTTTTCAATACAGATGAATCACAAAAAGAAATTTTTGAAATTGCACAGGAAGAAACCCTTATAATCATGATAATGAAGAATCTTAGTACCAGCAAATTGAATTTCTTACCACTAAACACTTGGTACTGAAGAATTTTGTTGTATCAAACAGTCATTCCAAAGGTCGCTGGACTTCGGGCAAAGATCAGTAAAAATTGGTTTAGTCCAGTTAAGTGATATGGATTACTGGAACAAATGACCTGTAAAATTTTTAATTTTGTCAAAATCATGTGTAAATGTCATGTTAAAAAGTTTTTGGTCCAGTTCAATAAAAAGAACGGTTTGCTAGACCAAATGTCCAGTTGATTCCTCAAAGCCTTGGGAACCACTGATTTAACATGTCTAATGATCCTGATTATGCATGAAATACTTGCTAATGGACAAATAATCAATAAATTAATCATCAGTTTTTTTTATACATCTTTGCAGGAATAGATACTAGAATGTTGACAAAGAGAATAAGAGAAAAAGGAACAATACTTGGAAAGGTTGGTTTGGTCTTAATAGCTTTCACTAAAATAAGGCATATCAAACTATTAATAGATCATTCTAGTCATGAAACAAAAATGTTCAATTTTTTATTAAAGTTGCATACAAATCTTACCTTTTTATGACATAAGACCAATGACAAATCTTGCTTAAATTTCTGTTTTACTTTTCTCACCCTTTAAAGATTTAAAAACAAATGTGAATAAGACAACCTGAAGTTGGTCAGATTTAATGATATATAATTAAAATCAATTGTATAGTTAAGGAGAGTTTCTTTTTACTTAATGTGTAATACCAGAAAGAAGAGTAACTGAACTGTTTCTGTTTTAGGTCATAATGGAAGGAATAGATCCAGAGTCTATTTTATATGAAGATCCAAACATAATGAATTTAGTACAACAGGTGTCTACAAAAGTAAGTAACAAAATATAATCATCATGCTTAGATAAAATAATTTACAAATTTACAAATACTTTCTGCATATAATTAGTTAATATATTCCACCTTTTCTCCTTTTCTGGTGAGCAATGGCCATTACGGTTCTCACAATACAAAAAACAAGCTTATAAAAATAAGGAGATGTGGTATGATTGCAAATGAGACAACTATCCACCCAAGTTCAAATGAAGTGGATGTAAGTAATTATAGGCAACCATAGGGCCTTTAACAATGAGAAAACCCATACCGTATAGTCGGCTATAAAAGCCCCCGACATGAAAAATATGAAACAATTCAATTGAGAAAACTAGCAGCCTAATTTACAACAAAACAATATACCATTTGAGCTACAGTTCCAAGGTTAATTTTATTCTTGTGATAATTTGCATGTAATTTACAATTGTGTTCTGTGTCGGTAACTTGTCAATGGTAATTTGTTTAACCTACAACAATAATTTGACTTTTTTCCACAAACATTGATTTCTTTAGATTTTACCTTAACATTTTATATGCCTTTTTTCATATGTAAAATTTTGATATATGTGCACATGTATAGAAACTGCAGAGACATCAATCAGACAGACCTTTTAATCATAAAATTATTGATTTTATGATAATAGATATAATTTATCAATCATCATTATGAAATGCAAGTTAAAAGATAATTATATATAACATACAATTACCAGTTGCAGTTTTCTTGTGAAAGATCTAGATTATAAGCAACATTAGCCAAGGATATCAGGGGTAATAAAGTTTTCTTCCTAAATTATTATTATATCTTTCTAGAAACCAATGGACTATAACCCTAAAGGTGATGTAAAAATAGTAGCAGTTGATTGTGGTATAAAATACAACCAGATTCGATGTCTTTGTGAGCATGGAGCACATGTCACAGTAGTTCCATGGGATTATCCACTCAAAAGCTCAGGTACAAAATTTAACGATGTAAACTCAGTAGTATTTACCTTTTCACAGATAAAGGAGCTTTGGGAACCAGTTAAGCTTTAAAGAATATTTCTGTTTTTCTGGAGTTAAGATTTAGATACGGTGTAAAGTTCAAGTTTTCTTTGTTACCATCTAGAGCAAAATTTTGATATTTTTTTTCTATTTTTCCATATCTTACTGAGAAATGGACTTGGTTGGATTTTTATGCAGTCAATACTTTTACACTGTGAACAGCAGTCTCAGGCTAGGCACAGGGTTCAGCAAAACCCTTTACAATTTTTTTAAAACAATTTATATGTGAAAGTAATTTTGTAATTCTTCATCAGTCCAGGCTGTCATTTCAGATTAATATCTTTTAAGATGTAATAATGATAACGTAATATGTTAACATTGATGGCTATGGGTACCAGTTATTTGTTTTTGTTTTTAGATTATGATGGTTTATTCCTCAGTAATGGACCAGGTGATCCACAAATGTGTAAACAGACTATACAGAATATCAGTCAGCTGATCAAAGAAGCAGACTACAAGCCCATATTTGGAATATGTCTCGGACATCAGCTTTTGTCTTTGGCTATTGGTGCTTCAACATATAAAATGAAGTGGGTATTTTTTAAGATGATATTTTGCTTTTTTTATAAATACATCAAAATAAAAATAGAAAATTTTTCAAGGTGTGTATCATTAGAACAAAACCTGAGGTTCCTGGAAAATCTTTAAAAAGGGGAATGGAGCCTTGTCAGATCCTTATAAGTGAAGCGTTGACACAGGACCGGTATTTCAATCAGATTGCAGCTTCTCTGATATTGTTGATGGACAGTTTTAGTATGTTTACTTTTAATTTAGGGCATGATTTTAAGTTAGCTCAAAATAGAGGACTTGAAAACATTATAATTGCTGCTTATCATGAATGAAAGAACATGTTTGTAATAACTGAAATAGGCAAGACATTTCTCTCTAAACGTTTATGTTTGATAAAAAAAAGTGTACATTTTGGAATTTTTCAAGACAAAATTATTTACCTAAGAACTGTTCAAAGGTTACGTATTACAAATAAAACATTCATTTAAAGCAAGCAAAATCTCCAGTTCTTTTAAGAATGATAGAAATTCAGTTTGCACTTTCTACACTTATGTCTTACAAACATTATTCTTAACAGATATGGAAATAGAGGACATAATCAGCCATGTATCTATGACAACACAATCCGATGCTTTATTACAACACAGAATCATGGTTTTGCTGTTGATGTTTCAAATTTACCAAAGGAATGGCAGCCATTGTTCACCAATGCCAATGATAAAACTAATGAAGGTGTTGTTCATAGCTCCAAACCTTTTTATAGGTATGTCATATAATTTGTTCAGTAAAGATGTGAAAGTTGTATAAAAAATATGTTCTTCCAAATGCATAAATGATAGAAAAATATCAATTATTACTAATATCTTATACATTCAGGGAATTTACTGTGCAAGTCTGATCAACTGTACTTCTTGAAATAAGAACCAAATTAACATCTGTTATCTTTCTTTATCGTCGGTAAATTTTCTTGTCCCAAGTAAGAAATCTATGGACTTGAACTTTACAAACCCCGCCCTTTTGAAAAAAAAACCTAACCATAATTTAAAAGTAAGAACTGAAACTAGTGTGCACTTCCAAGTCAGTTTGTAACCTTTATTTGGTAATACTTAAAATAAGATATTCTGTATTGTTAACAAAACTGTTTTTATCACAAATTTTATATGTTCAAATATACATGATACAGGGGTAGAGGAGATCTGTTAACTAATATAGATTCAATTACAAATTCTTTTATTAACCTAATGACAGGCCCCAAAGCCAGACGTAAAAAACATCACAAATAAAGATACACAACATAACTACTTTCATTCATCCTTTCACACAACTATCATTCTGATTGGAAATAGTTGATCAGAACACTCGCATCAAAATTATTAGATGGGGAGAAGATTCGGACCTGTCCTATATATAAAGAAGGATAACTCTAACATTTTTTTATTTTTTACAATGAAAAAATATTACCATACATATAATTAGTGATATAATGTAGTTAAATCTAAATATAATCTCTGTGGAAGATAAAAACAAGACACATAGAAATACACTTATCTGTATACATACTTATAAAGAACATATTAGTTAAATATTATAAAATTACATAAACAACCTTTCTAAGAGAATGAATTGTCTCCAATAGTTCACAAAATGTTAAAATAAATGTGAAATCTTCATTTCACATTACTCTTCACATTACTCTTATAAGATATTTTCTAGAAATTTTCTCTTACATAATAATGCAATGAACAAGTGAACAGAAAATGTGTTTCATCTTCAGCCAAGTCCATTGTACACAAAAAGACCAGTTTCTCTTCCATTGAGGCAATATCTTGGATTTTCCTAGCATGTTAATTATACACTTATATCCACTGCTCTCAATTTGAAGAGGATGATTGCTTAACATCATTTTTGAAGGGCAAATGATGTTTCTTTTAATTTCTTATGTTTATGTAATTTCATATTCAAAACATGATTTAAATTTAAAATAAAAATTTAGTTTTCCCATGTTTTTCCTCCATACATATAGATTTTATTAATTTCCATTGCTTCAAATAGTCTTTAAGTAAAACTTTAACTTGGTTTTACAGTAGACTCCACCTAATCGGATATCGGCTAAACAAATATATCGGCTATTGTAATATTATTTCAAAACACCAAACCCTTCCCTATATGTTTAATGTTAATTTTATCGTGTAATCGAATATCGGATATAAGAATATATCGGCAAATCGGATAAGAATATTCAGGTCATTTTGTTCAAAACCATGCACAATCGGATATTTTCAATGTTTTTCTGACAGGAAATGGACCCGGAAGTTACGAATTTACAATCTTGCAGACAAGAAGATTTTGTTTTTACTAAATAAAAGGAACTATTTCTTAATAAATTGTTGTCTTTAATCATTGTCTTCCTTTGTCATGTGAATTAGATGCCCTTTTACTTCAAATGGTTTGAATTTATTTATAAAATATGCAAGACTCAGTTGACAAGTTGACGTTGCTGTTTGGAGAATTTTGATTAAACTCTAAATGTTCACAGAATCAGAAATGTAATCTAAACTGAATGTACCTCCTTCTGAATAATTTATTGCAATATAAATATAAATCCCTTTTGACAAGAGAAATCTGACTTTTGTCAGATATATTTTTTTCACATGTGCACAAGTAACCACATGTCATGGACGCCATTTTGGATGTTTACAAATTTGTGAGGAAGCCTCTAGAACTATGACCTAAATATAAATAGTCTTCAGAAAACGTAAACTTTATGCAATAATATTTTATCAATCATGATTATTTTCATAAATTTAAATTTGATTATTTCAAGAAATAAAATTATAACAAATTCGATTTTAGTTTGGAGATTCTACACAGATATGCTTAGATCTATTTATAGCCAAATTAGTTTACCTGTGTGATAATGTAAATAATGGATATTAATTTGCTTACAAAACATATGCATGAGACAAACTATGGATGGTAGATAATAATTCACATAAATATTTCAGGACATTTGATTTATTTTAATAAATAAAGGATTTAAAATCTGCAAACAAATTTAATCATTACATAATCAGCTGATAATTTTTTACACAAACATCGTGGTGATGTTACTGATAAAAATCACTCCATCAATCCTCCAGCGCGCCCTTTCACATATTTAGCAATTGTCAGGGTTAGTAACATCTCAGGATTATATCTACTCATTATTGCAGAATATTCAATGAATATACGTTCATCGTCTAATTGAATATATCGGGTAATCGGATATTTTTAGCTGACATTTTGGGTATCCGATTTGCCGGAGTCTACTGTACTAATATTTTTACATACATTAACATTAAAAATAATTTCTTACTATATGCATTGTGTAAAAGTTTAGAAGGTTCTTTGTAAAGAGTTGATGCCATTACATAATTAATATAATTCAAATCAATTCAATATTTTATTTACGTCTCACCTTATGCATAAAATTACACAATACATTTATAAAAGATACATTTTGTATACATAAGCCAATCTATACAGATTTATGAGAGACGATAATCAACTAAAACAATATGTATGTACATAATAAATATTAAACATGAATGGTAATATTATAAATAGGTAATAGAGAATTGTTCATTTCAGAAAAAATTACAGGAACAAATGACATGTAACATACAGAAAACATGTATACAAACAATTTTTTAACAATATTTTGTAGTGTCCAGTTTCATCCAGAACATATGGGTGGACCAAGAGATTTAGAATCCTTGTTTGATGTGTTTTTAGACCAAGTCAGAGCTCACAAGAAGGGGAACAAAAGGTTGGTTGGTAGACCATTTTTGGGTAAAGATTGCATGAAATGCAATCAAAACCCTATGGTACTGACTTGATTTCTAAATCTTCCAACGTTTATCACTACTTATGAAATACACAAAATATAGTGCATTGATGATAAAATTCTATACATCCTATCCATGAACATTTAAAGAAATTTATCAATGAAATATATTCTTGGATATTCAAGTTACAAAATGATGTTATACTTGTCAAAAATATTATATAACTTGTGCAAGGTGCAATAATCTAATATCTGTTCTAAAAATATCAATGATGTCATTGTTAAAATAGTCAGTAAAATTTGAGCTCCCACTGAAAAATTAAGGCAATCTTTACCCTTCAGTGCTTACAAGCACTTTGATTATTTAACTATTCATCTGACATACAATGTATTTGTCTTCAGTCTGAAAGTTGTACTAAACCAATATTCATTGAAATGTAATATGGATAAAAGAGGATGTGAATGAGACAGCAGAACAAACAAAAAAGACATTCATAGATTAAAATATATTCTGTTAAAGTATATTTTACCATATGTTAAGTTCTATGTTTCCCTGCCATTTTCTAAATAAATTACAGAATTTTAGGACAGATTTGGTTAACCGTTTGACTGTAAATATAATGTTTTGTTTTATCAGTTTGACAGTAAAAGATCGACTTAACATGGCCCTACAGACCCCAGTACATGTACCTCCTGTACCTAGTACTAGACCAAAGAAAGTTCTAATCTTAGGCTCTGGTGGACTATCTATAGGCCAAGCTGGAGAATTTGATTACTCAGGTTCACAGGTAATATATTCTTGCTCCCTTTAATTTTTAAATGTCAGTAAACTGCACATAATGGATGTTGTTGTCTTTTATAGTTTTGTGAATGATTAAAATAAACTTTATTAATCTTTTTTAGATTTATTTTATCATTTTTTCAGGCAATAAAGCTTTGAAAGAAGAAAGCATACAGACTGTGTTGATAAACCCAAACATAGCCACGGGGCTAAGTGCACAGTTACTTTGAAGAAGATAATGCAAAAAAGAAAGTGACCATTGCATATTAATATCTTGTTCATATTTATTTTAACATTACAAAAGAGAAAGTGACCAATGCATATTAATATCTTGTTTATTTATTTTAACATTTCAAATAAAGAAATGACCATTGAAATTTATAGCATATTAATGTCTTTTTGATAATTTTTTTATCATTTTACAGGGAGAAAAAGCTTTGAAAGAACAAAGCATACAAACTGTGTTGATAAATCCAAACAAAGCCACGGGGCTAAGTGCACAGTAACTGTGGAGGAGATAATGCAAAAAAAAAGTGACCATTGCATATTAATATCTTGTTCATATTTATTTTATCATTGCAAAAAAGGAAGTGACCATTGCATATTAATATCTTGTTCATATTTATTTTAACATTACAAAAGAGAAAGTGACCATTGCATATTAATATCTTGTTTATTTATTTTAACATTTCAAATAAAGAAATGACCATTGAAATTTATAGCATATTAATGTCTTTTTGATATTTTTTTTATCATTTTACAGGCAGAAAAAGCTTTGAAAGAACAAAGCATACAAACTGTGTTGATAAATCCAAACAAAGCCACGGGGCTAAGTGCACAGTTACTGTGGAGGAGATAATGCAAAAAAGAAAGTGACCATTGCATATTAATATCTTGTTCATATTTATTTTATCATTGCAAAAAAGGAAGTGACCATTGCATATTAATATCTTGTTCATATTTATTTTAACATTACAAAAGAGAAAGTGACCATTGCATATTAATATCTTGTTCATATTTATTTTAACATTTCAAATAAAGAAATGACCATTGAAATTTATAACATATTAATGTCTTTTTGATATTTTTTTTATCATTTTACAGGCAGAAAAAGCTTTGAAAGAACAAAGCATACAAACTGTGTTGATAAATCCAAACAAAGCCACCGGGCTAAATGCACAGTTACTATGGAGAAGATAATGCAAAAAAGAAAGTGACCATTGCATATTAATATCTTGTACATATTTATTTTATCATTGCAAAAAAGGAAGTGACCATTGCATATTAATATCTTGTTCATATTTACTTTATCATTGCAAATAAAGAAATGACCATTGAAATTTATAGCATATTAATGTCTTTTTGATATTTTTTTTATCATTTTACAGGCAGTCAAAGCTTTGAAAGAACACAGCATACAAACTGTGTTGATAAATCCAAACAAAGCCACGGGGCTAAGTGCAAAGTGACTTTGGAGAAGATAATGCAAAAAAGGAAGTGACCATTGCATATTAATATCTTGTTCATATTTATTTTATCATTGCAAAAAAGGAAGTGACCATTGCATATTAATATCTTGTTCATATTTATTTTATCATTGCAGAAAAAGAAATGACCATTGAAATTTATAGCATATTAATGTCTTTTTGATATTTTTTTATCATTTTACAGGCAGAAAAAGCTTTGAAAGAACAAAGCATACAAAATGTGTTGATAAATCCAAACAAAGCCACGGGGCTAAGTGCACAGTTACTATGGAGGAGATAATGCAAAAAAGAAAGTGACCATTGCATATTAATATCTTGTTCATATTTATTTTTTTAACATTGCAAAAAAAGAAGTGACCATTGCATATTAATATCTTGTTCATATTTATTTTATCATTGCAAAAAAGGAAGTGACCATTGCAAATTAATATCTTGTTCATATTTATTTTTTTAACATTGCAAAAAAAGAAGTGACCATTGCATATTAATATCTTGTTCATATTTATTTTAACATTACAAAAGAGAAAGTGACCATTGCATATTAATATCTTCTTTATTTATTTTAACATTTCAAATAAAGAAATGACCATTGAAATTTATAGCATATTAATGTCTTTTTGATATTTTTTTTATCATTTTACAGGCAGAAAAAGCTTTGAAAGAACAAAGCATACAAACAGTGTTGATAAATCCAAACAAAGCCACGGGGCTAAGTGCACAGTTACTATGGAGGAGATAATGCAAAAAAGAAAGTGACCATTGCATATTAATATCTTGTACATATTTATTTTATCATTGCAAAAAAGGAAGTGACCATTGCATATTAATATCTTGTTCATATTTACTTTATCATTGCAAATAAAGAAATGACCATTGGAATTTATAGCATATTAATGTCTTTTTGATAATTTTTTTATCATTTTACAGGCAGAAAAAGCTTTGAAAGAACAAAGCATACAAACTGTGTTGATAAATCCAAACAAAGCCACAGGGCTAAGTGCACAGTTATTATGGAGGAGATAAGCATACAAACTGTGTTGATAAAACCAAACAAGCCACGGGGCTAAGTGCACAGTTACTATGGAAAAGATAATGCAAAAAAGGAAGTGACCATTGCATATTAATGTCTTGTTGATATTTATTTTAACAATGCAAAAAAGGAAGTGACCATTGCATATTAATATCTTGTTGATATTTATTTTAACATTGCAAAAAAGAAAGTGACCTTTGCATATTAATGTCTTGTTGATATTTATTTTTTTAACATTGCAAAAAAGAAAGTGACCATTGCATATTAATATCTTGTTGATATTTATTTTAACATTGCAGAAAAAGAAGTGACCTTTGAAGTTGAGTGCATATTGATGTCTTTTTGATATTTTTTTATCATTTTACAGGCAGTCAAAGCTTTGAAAGAACAAAGCATACAAACTGTGTTGATAAATCCAAACAAAGCCACGGGGCTAAGTGCACAGTTACTATGGAGGAGATAATGCAAAAAAGAAAGTGACCATTGCATATTAATATCTTGTACATATTTATTTTATCATTGCAAAAAAGGAAGTGACCATTGCATATTAATATCTTGTTCATATTTACTTTATCATTGCAAATAAAGAAATGACCATTGAAATTTATAGCATATTAAAGTCTTTTTGATATTTTTTTTATCATTTTACAGGCAGTCAAAGCTTTGAAAGAACAAAGCATACAAACTGTGTTGATAAATCCAAACAAAGCCACGGGGCTAAGTGCACAGTGACTTTGGAGAAGATAATGCAAAAAAGGAAGTGACCATTGCATATTAATATCTTGTTCATATTTATTTTATCATTGCAAAAAAGGAAGTGACCATTGCATATTAATATCTTGTTCATATTTATTTTATCATTGCAGAAAAAGAAATGACCATTGAAATTTATAGCATATTAATGTCTTTTTGATATTTTTTTATCATTTTACAGGCAGAAAAAGCTTTGAAAGAACAAAGCATACAAAATGTGTTGATAAATCCAAACAAAGCCACGGGGCTAAGTGCACAGTTACTATGGAGGAGATAATGCAAAAAAGAAAGTGACCATTGCATATTAATATCTTGTTCATATTTATTTTTGGAAAATGACGCTATCAGCGGCATGTTTCCGATACCATTGACCAGAACTAACGGAAGTTGATTATGCCTCCGCCTACCGCATTCGGTTTCATATTTACTATTTTACATACTATTACTAACTGGAATCTGCTTGTATTACGCTACACTCGAACAAAGTGTTGAAGTCGGACGGAACCAGTTTACATACGTTATTTTATTTACCAAAAAGATATCTTGACCTGTCCATATGTTTTTTGTTATTAAATGGTATTTGGAGCTATCCCTTTGTTATATTTTTCATATTTATTCGAGCTTTCACTTTTATGCACATGTCATACAATCGTAAACAATCGGTATGTATACATGATAAATAGATCGTTGAACTTTTTACCCTCCAATGATCAGCAATCGCTAGACAAAATAGTTCTCCTAAATAATGTCAGCCTTTCATGCAATTTCAACTTTACAATCATTAAAAAAGTAATAATCGGAATCATTTTGATATCCATTGGTAAGAAACTGGTCTTTATCCAGATTTACGAAGATTTTAATAATCGGAAATTAGTAATACGGTTATACCCACGCGGTGCGTATGAATCTTTGTTTACAAAGTTATAGCAGCAGAGTCTGTAACTGTATCATTATTAATTAACTACACTGTTATTGTACTTAATATGATGAAAACTGCATATGCAATATAAGATGTCAACTCGGCCAATACAGATTTTTTTTCCGTATTGGCCGAGTTCTGATCCGGCCAAAACAGGATTTCGGAACGTCTCTAGTTTTTAGATCGTAAGTCAGGATAAACTCAAACTGAAAGTAAACAGTTGTTTGTACGACACAGTTTTTATTTACTCACCATAAACAAGCTGAAACGTTCAGTATGGCATATATTTTAGGTTAAAGACGGTCCCATTCATTTGAAAAGCATTTTGAAAGTAGACGAGTGAATTATTTCAGGTTTGGGGAACGAGTAAATTATCACAAAGTTCATTTCTTGACGACCTCATAATTTCATCATGTCGATGGTACAAATCGATTTTTACTGTTTACTTTCGCTGCTCATGTTTTGTAAACGGTCTTTTATTTTTAAACCCGAACCAGGCATATGCATTCTGTAATTGCGCAAATCTTCGTTCTTTGGTCAATTGGCTTATGGATAGTTGTATCAATTTCAACTCTTACATTATTTTTTTTTTAATATATTTGCATTACACATGCAATGGCAGTACCTTTCCAATTACTATTTATGTGTTGTGTCTAAATTAAAGTTGTAACACTTTATAGTGACTGGAAAGGGTAGAAAAATTCATCAGATGAGAACAGGCTGAAGATACATGGAAACGGCACCAAATCATTAGATATTGCATCTTATAAAAAGAAACTGAGATTTGGATAGTTCCACTTCAAGGTAAAAATGTTTAT